TGAATATTGATTAGTCGAGTTAGGGTTTTGTTGATTCTTTGCGATTAGTTTATTAAGCACCTTCTAGTTAATTAGCGACTTGTAGAACCGAAAGGGGAGAAGTCGTTGACCTAGGCTCACATGAGGTAGACGATGTCGTAATCGACTAATCTACGTGTTTTAGATTGAAATACGCACTTGTCGATGACCCGTCCCTTGTTACGAAAAGTTATTGGGACTGGAATAATTGGCCTGTGTTGTATGCTCGAACTTGTTCGTCTATGTTCAATCCCTTGTTACGAAGAGTTATTGGGAGCGAACCGCTGGATGTGTAAGCGAGAGTGTCAATCTCGAACCGAATAATGAATTGCCCGATTTTGCTAGAACTTGAATTAATTGTCCCCGATTCCCTAGCTTCTCCATCTTTATTTCGTTTATCTTCTTAGGTAGGTTATTGCTTTTTATTATTTCTTAGCTGATAATTATTCAAACCCCTTTATCTGATTAGTATGTTTAGGATTTTATTTGTTTTTATGTGTTATCAATATCAAAGCTAAATTCCGAACAGTCTTCCTCGTGAGATCGACCCGGGGAACGAATCTTTAGATTCGGTACTCGGTAAAAATAATAATTTGTACACAACATAAATCATTAAGATGGTAGTGAGTCCCTCGATATGGAGTAAGAAAATGTCGTCTCTTTGGATATCCACAACTAGCCAATAAATACTTTCTTGAAGAAAAAAATATATAATTATCTCATGCTTTTAATATTAAATAATAGTGTATTTAAAAAATATGAAATGAAAGGGAAAAAATGAATTAATACCACCAGGAATTTCGAGTCCGTTTCTTCTTGTAAAGCATTTGTCAATATTTTTTATTCACGAGTTGAACCCTACAACCCACTGAACACATATATTAACATCAGATCAAAGTTACAAGCAGGTAAAATATTTTGCAAAATTTGTCCATACCAATTATGATAACTGCTTGTATCATGTCCTATTACCATTGCTGGAATATGTATGCTATCAATAACCTCAATGCAGTCCCATTTTTTAAAATTTTCAACATTAGAAAATAATATAATGACATTAATTGGGACTAAGAACATTTAAGCAATATGCAACATTTACAGTCTATCTAGAGAGAGGATTTCAAAATAGCATATGCAATTAGATTTCAATGAGGTAACATAAACACACATTTTATAGTTGTAATTCCAATGGAGGTGTTGTAAAAAAGTGTAATTGAACCACTATAAAGAAATCTGAACAGTGAGATGATGGACATGAATAGTGATGATAGGGTGATCAAATTCTTGTATACATGATTTTGTGAAGTTTCAGTAGAGGTTGCCCATAAAAGGCAACCCAAATGAAGTGAAATATACATATGCAAGAAGAAAGAAATTTGATTATAATTTATATCCAGCTTTTATATTGATTTTTTTACCTTTACTGCATTTATAACAACATGCAAATATATTTTTTTTGAAAAAAACATAAAGTTGGGACCCTATGGCACGTAGTCCATTTGCTTAGTAGGAGTATAAAACTCCATGAAAGCGAAAGTCAGAGAATCGAACCTGATTATCGTGGAGAATAGGGATGAGACACCTCAGCTGAGCCCGTAGAACTCGGAGCCCTCGTAAATCGAACTCCATTAGAGGCCTGGCCAATCTTGCTCAAAAACTTGAAAAAAACAAACAAAAAAGAAACCCCCCCTCTCACACTCCTCACCCCAAACCCTACTCAAACCCTCACAAATGCTCAAAGCCAAACCATATAGAAGAGAAAAGAGCACAAAAAGAACCACGAAACAAAGAACAACACAAACCCCAACAAGAAAACCTACCCTCGGTGTAATTTTACTTATCTCTAAGAGAATCTCTAGCTCTCCAGTGAGAAAATTTATTTGTAAGATTTTGTGAAGAATAGGATTTTATCAGTTCTCATAGATTTTTTAGGATTTAATAGAAGTACCAAAAGTGACATGTGACATTGTTGAAGACTTTTATTGGTTTCTTAAGAATTTCAAGAATTCTTGTAGATTCTTTTTCATTGAATAATCATCAATATTAATATATAAATATACCATTGCGAAAACTTGTGAGAAAATTTATACATGAAAGAAAATAAAAATCAATTTAAACAAGCAACAATGTGATTTTTCTATTTTATTGTTTGTCTATTTATCTTTTTGTACAAATGTAGTTCCATTTGTTACAATTTTTTATTCTATCCAATCAACCACATAATCTCAAGATACACAATTATTATTATTATTATTATTATTATTATTATTATTATTATTATTATTATTATTATTATTATTATTATTATTATTTTGTCTCACTTATAATTTTTTATTCTATCAAATCAACCACATAATATCAAGACACAATTATTATTTTTTTACTCACAACATTAATAGCAATTATGTTTGAAACACATTTTGTGATATTATGATAATAATGTCTAACAATGAGTTATCTTGAGAGATTCTATAAAATTTTGTGCGAAAAATTAAAATATTGAAAAATATATGGTAAAAAAGCCAGTAAGATGCAAATTTGATGACATATAAATGTTTTGCGTCTAATACAATTTCATATAAAACAAAAATAATAAGCAAGTTCAATTTCTACTTTATAGCATAATTCCACATTTAATTTACTATCCATGCATTAGCGACCGTTCTTTGTTGTTCTTGACTTCTAAAAAATGGACCAAAGTTATCTCCTTTGGTTATTGAACAATTTGACTTTTTTCTTGTTCAGGTTCTGCCGAAAATTTATCAGAGCGACATTCTTCTTGTAAAACGTTATGTCACTCTGCACATGCCAATACCAACTCCGCTTGCATATATAACATAAATGGAGATGGCGATTAGAAAATCACAAACCTTAATTTGAATATACCAATATACCAAATATCCTCACAAATACATTCCTTAGTGAAGAATGTTTGAGATTAAACAGTACATTGGCATTGCTTGGGTCACGACCTTGACCTGTAAAATCATTAAGATGGTAGTGAGTCCCTCGATATGGAGTAAGAAAATGTCGTCTCTTTGGATATCCACAACTAGCCAATAAATACTTTCCTGCAGATAAAATATATAATTATCTCATGCTTTTAATATTAAATAATAGTGTATTTAAAAAATATGAAATGAAAGGGAAAAAATGAATTAATACCACCAGGAATTTTGAGTCCGTTTCTTCTTGTAAAGCATTTGTCATTATTTTTTATTCATGAGTTGAACCCTACAACCCACTGAGCACATATATTAACATCAGATCAAAGTTACAAGCAGGTAAAACATTTTGCGAAATTTGTCCATACCAATTTTGATAATGCTTGTATCATGTTCTATTACCATTGCTGGAAATGTATGCTATCAATAACTTTAATGCAGTCCCATTTTCTAAAATTTTCAACATTAGAAAATAATAATGACATTATATTGGGACTAAGAACATTTAAGCAATATGCAACATTTATAGTCTATCTAGAGAGAGGATTTCAAAATGGCATATGTAATTGGATTTCAATGAGGCAACATAAATACACATTTTATAGTTGTAATTCCAATGGGGTGTTGTAAACAAGTGTAATTGAACCACTATAAAAAAAATTCTGAATAGTGAGATGATGGACATGAATTGATAGGGTGATCAAATTCTTGTATACATGATTTTGTGAAACTTCGGTAGAGGTTGCCCATTAAAGGCAACCCAAATGAAGTGAAAAATACATATGCAAGAAGAAGGAAATTTGATTATAATTTATATCCAGCTTTTATATTGAGTTCTTTATCTTTATCGCATTTATAACAACATGCAAATATATTTTTTTTGAAAAAAACACAAAGTTGGGACCCTATGGCACGCAGTCCATTTGCTTAGTAGGAGTGTAAAACTCCATGAAAGCGAAAGTCAGAGAATCAAACCTGACTATCGTGGAGAATAGGGATGAGACACCTCACTCCTCCTTGAGGCTTAGTTCCACACCTTTGGATATGGATCCCGTAGGCTGTTAGGCCCTTTTAAAGTTAGTGGTGAAGTTTTAAAATGACCGATGAGATATATGCATTAAAAAAAAAAAAACAACGTTGGGATCCTATCATCTAGACATGGCCAAAGCCCGGGCCGGGTCACGACCCGACCCGGCCCGGCCGCCGGGCCACCGAGTTGGATTTCGGTGACCCTGAACCGGCACGAACCTAGGATCGTGTCGGGTCCACGACCCGGGCCTCGACCCGGCCACATAAAAATAAATAAATAAATAAATAATTTCAAAAGCAATATTTTTTCCGTGCCGGCACGGACCCGACCCGACCCGCCGAGACAAGGTAAAAAAAGCAAGATCCTTGACCAGCCCGTTTGAAATCCGTGTCGAACCCGGACCCGTGGTCAACGGGTTTGACCGGGCCGAGTACGGTCCAGGTCTGTGTTGGATTTGGGCCGGGTCCATATCGAGTCCGGGTCGGCAGGTGGGTGACCCTTGGCCATGTCTACTATCATCCAAGTAACGTTATACTCTCATCTCTGTATTTTGTGAAACACAAATTAACGCGGATATTTCCTTAACATACAACATACGGGGACAATTCCTTTATTATTCCTTGCTTAATTTCTCTCTCTACTGCCCTAATTCCGATCTGAAACATTTTTCCCCAGCACCAAACCCCCTTCATTCTTCCAATTCATTCACAGCTGTGCTTTCGTCGCTGCCGGCAGTCATTATTTCCTTCACTTCTTTGTCTCCGCCGCCGGTAATTGTAGATCTTTACTTCACAGTCGAACCACTACATGATTTCCGTTGTATGTACTGAGTCTTGTCACACTATCCAGTAGAACGTTACTGGGTGCAGCGATCTAGAGGCATAAACCTAGAGAAAAGTGGGAAAGTAAACGTTTCCCGGCGGATTGAAGTGGCACAAGAATGATCTTGTGATAGTTGTGGATTTTCTGTTTCTTCTTTTCCCTGTTATTGTGGTGAGATTATAAGTATGGCTGCCGAGGCGGCGGCTGCGGCCGGTGCTGCCACTTCTTCGGATTTGTTGTACAAGGGGATGTCGTCCGACAATATAAAAGGGCTGGTTTTGGCACTGTCTTCCAGCTTCTTCATCGGGGCCAGCTTTATCGTGAAGAAGAAGGGGTTAAAGAAAGCTGGTGCTTCAGGCGTCAGGGCTGGTAATAATTTCCTATTTGCCTTTATGCCTGCAATTTAAATAAATTTGGCTGTGAAAGATGAAATTGAAGAAGTGTGGGGGTGTTTGAACCTTGATGTGTTGCATTATTCTTGGTGAAGGTTAAGTGTTTTTGAGGGTCGGGTTTATTGGTTACTGTGGTTTTGATTGAATTTAATATCAAGATCTCGAGTTCAAGGTAGCTGTTACTGCTGGAATGATGTTAGTATTACAGATTGTTTATTGGTAAACCCTGTATTTGCTTCGTTTTGGTGATGCTTAGTTGTCAGAGTTAGGCATGGATTCATTGACGAGCAGTCGGTTCTTGAAGTATTGCCGATTGGTCTTCTATGATTATTTGTTGCCTGATATGCGTTGTAGTGATTTTAGTCCACTAACATAGCAGAATAAGCCCTCTCTGGTTGATGTGGGGCTGTCCACTACTAGGTTAGTGGATATAATTTGTTTTTTGCTCTCCACTAATCGGTCCAACCAATTACAAGGGGTAAAATAAAGCAATCCTTAAGACCATTATAATATAATTGTATTTTGAGCTCTGTTTGAACTTTGAAGAAAAACCACAGTGCCACACCCCCATTTTATGGCTGGCTAGTCTGTCTTTCAAAACCTTGGATCTGATATATTCCTCCCTTGATAAAGCTTTCAGTTTACTCTTGGAAAACCTGTAGTTTTAGTTTGGAGTGGCTAGTCTTTTAAGTGGAATTAGGATGTGCAGCTGGGTTCCATTTGATTTTGAGTATTTACATTTTTTACGGCTGTGCTCGTGTGTTTAATGCACCTTTAGTATCATAAGCCAGTCCTGAAACACTGATTTGTATGCTCGACAAAGACTAAGTTTGGCCTGATGCAACTTTATATCTGCCGAAATAAAGGTTAATATATTGCATAATAGCAAATTGTCTTAAAATCTCCACGTGGTCAATTTTCTTTCCATTAGGAGGTACCTATGATATCTAATCTCTTTTAGCCTAACAACTATTGGCACAATGTTTTATGTATAAACTGTTTTAATTCAAGTTTGTCGATAGAAAAGGCATTGCCTTAAATGGTAGAAGTATTCACAATAAGAGTTCCTCTCAAGGAAGTATAGTTGAAAACAGAATATGTGCATATGATGTTGGAACAGTTCTAATTGTCATTGTTCTGTGTGCTGTCTGCTTTATATGCAACTTAACTTATCCCAAATTTGCCAGCTTGCATATGTGTTTAGTGTGCTATGCATGCTATCCCCATTCTTCTCTCTTCTAATGCTTGTTCATGTCTTTTTTGGTTTTTAATCCAGTAGTGTAATATTATTCTCTCATTTTATTTTATTTCTACAGGAGTCGGAGGGTATTCGTACCTGTACGAGCCTCTATGGTGGACAGGAATGATAACAAGTAAGCTGTGTATTATATCTGTGTAGATAATTATGTTTAATTTTTCAACTAACTCATACCATGGTGTACATTGTAGAGTTGAAAGAAACTGGTACAACCTACAGTCTAGGATAAATAAACTCATTATGATAGGGTTAATGACCAGAGATTTTTTTTCCTTAACTGTATTCAGAAATTACTAGTTCTCCGTTCATAAAGCTTGATATTTAAGCTTGGGGAATGGATTTTCTCATATGAACATGGGGTTGGGAGTGGGGGAGTGTCAGAATGATGGGTAATTGAGGTCTGGAAAGAAAAAGAAGGATTAACTGTCCACCTCACTGGCTTGTTGGACAAAGGCCAACTTGAGGAGGTTCATTATCAGTTGACTGGTCTGCCCTGCTTGATTATGTTCCCTGGCAATGGTCATATGATTGATTATCTACCTGAGAAATGTCTTATCTTCTGTGCTTTCTTTGTATGCCAATTTATTTCTTGGTTAAAAAAGTAAGAAAATTTATCTTAAAAACTAACCTTGGGCTTAGCCTGACCGTAAGTGAACGTAGGTATATATCAGAATTATAAAAATCCACTTGAAAGCAGGGATATGGAGTTGCATAATGTTCTGCCAAATATGAGTTGTATTCATACAGTCTAAATTGTTGCCGATTTGACTGGAAATTAGTTTTGCAATGTCTACCAAAATAGGATGATTTGGATAAGCTTTTGTTATGTTTCCTCATCGAGCACTTATATCTAATAGTTATTGTCAGTCACCTTGTTGCCAAATTCCATTTTCAACCAGCTCTTTCTTGTTCCTGCTACACTTCATCTATTAATACTAGTACCATTTACTTGTTCAGGTCACACTTAAATTGAATGCTTGTTTTATCTTTGATTCTTTCTGATACTAGGTAAAACTAAACTTATTTCTGTTTTGAATTTTTTGATGTGCTACAGTGATTGTTGGCGAGATTGCAAATTTTGCAGCATATGCGTTTGCACCAGCAATTCTAGTTACTCCTCTTGGTGCGCTCAGCATTATTATCAGGCATGGATATTTGGCCAGTTTACCTTAGTTGGCTATGTAAGTTATATTTTGACATTTTCGCTAATTTTTATGTGCTGAATGCAGTGCCGTACTTGCTCACATTATTTTACGAGAGAGACTGCACATTTTTGGTATTCTTGGTTGTGCTCTATGTGTTGTGGGCTCGACCACAATAGTCCTACATGCTCCACAGGAACGTGAGATTGAATCTGTGAAAGAAGTGTGGGACCTTGCTACCGAGCCAGGTAACTTTGGTTTTCCAGTTAGTGAGATTTTTGTTTTTTAACTTTTGGGACAACATTTCTTTATGTTCTCCGGCGAGCTAAAATACTATGGGTCTTTCCTGCAGCTTTTGTCTGTTATGCAATTCTGGTGATAGCAGTAGTCCTCATTCTAATATTCTATTACGTCCCGCAATATGGCCAGACGCATATATGGTTCTATATTGGTGTCTGTTCATTAGTTGGCTCACTGTCGGTATGTGATGTAAATTTCTAATATTTATCTATATATGTAGTCTCCCTCTCTCTCTCTCTCTCTCTCTCTCTCTCTCTCTCTCTCCAGTTAAGCCTTCTTTCAAGAGAAAAAGAACATCTTTGGTATTGTGTTCTTCTGTAAATTCTAAGAAGCTGTGGAAAATGCCTTTTAACAGGTCATGAGTGTAAAAGCTTTAGGAATTGCTTTGAAGTTGACTTTGTCAGGAATGAACCAGCTGATATATCCACAGACATGGACCTTTGCAATGGTCGTATTGGTTTGCGTCCTCACTCAAATGAACTATCTAAATAAGGTTAATATCTAAATAATGTTTCACTCTTGGGGATTCTAAAAACCTACTTAATGCCATCCTTGTATTTACATATTTCACATCTGTAAAATCGTGTTAGATCAACTCAGCCACGCGTTCACATTTCTGAACCTTTTGAAAATTCCATTTTTCACTCTTCATCCAAACCGAACACATTAGGTTTTCTATATTTTTGGGAAGCAATTTTTTCATAAATTAATGCAAATGTAATCTCATTTCTAACAGAGAAACCTGTACAACTACACTCAACAAAAATGTTGGAATTGAAATTCTTTATTGAAACTGCAACCATATAAAAACCTGATGCGTGCAATTCTAACGTTGATCTACTTCACATGTTCAGTTAAAAGAATAGCTGCTTTTCCTTGAAATGCGATACATTTTTGTAATACAAGGCATCTTTAAATGTTGTGTTTCATTATTTTCCAAATCTTGACGAATCTCGAATGCAGGCTCTTGATACGTTCAACACGGCCGTAGTTTCTCCCATTTACTATGTCATGTTCACAACCTTTACTATTGTGGCTAGTGTCATCATGTTCAAGGTAGTTTTATTGCAGTTTTTAACTATTTCCTCTTTTCCTTCTTTCCATACTGGCCTGATATGTACTCTAGATGATTGAATGAAGTTGGATATCTTTTTCCACTACATTGAGTTTGACAAAATATGTTGCAATAATAGTGTGGAAACTCAATGAGAAAAGTATTTAAATGGCTCTCTAATCTCCCGATTGTAAAGGATTCGATGTTAATGTTCTAGTATTGGCAAAATTATACATGATGCTTTCGCTTGGCTGTGTAAGATGTGCTGGGTCCTTGAAAAGAATTCTTGAAAATGTGGAGCCAGAAAATTATGTATGTAATTATTAACTAATATGTTGACATCTCAAGAGTTGGAGACTGAGAGTGTATGCTCCTTTTGGTAATATGAACAGGACTGGGATAGACAAAATCCGACCCAAATTGTCACAGAGATGTGTGGGTTCGTGACTATTCTTTCTGGGACCTTTCTTCTTCACAAGACGAAAGATATGGCTGATGGTATGTATGCGCGCTAAGTTCCTGATTTGCTGGCTTTGTTAGTTGTGACACAGATACATATGAATTTGATGGCAACACACTAAACACCTGACAAATAATAATCCGAGTCGTGTAATGTTCATTCCTCGTAGGTTCAATGTCAATGAGACTCCCAAAGCATGCGAATGAGGATGGTTTTGGTGAAGAAGGCATCCCTCTCACTCTCCGGCGGCAGGAATCGTTGAGAACAACCTGATGTACTGTTTGATTTTATTTTCCTACTTTTCTTCCTTGTAGCCAAATGTGAGTTCGAAAAATCATGCTGTTTTGAGAAGAATACCACACATATTCATCTTGTATTTTAACAGATACTGGACATGTCCCTAGCATACATTTATCTTCGGGAAAAAAATTTAGAGCAACATGATCTTTGCCCATTGTGTAAAAATGCAACCTAATTTTTTTATTTTGATAAATAGCAACCTGAACTAATCACTTTTGTTAAAAAACAACCCAACTTGCGGGATTGCAGGAAAAATGAAATAAAATGACATTCTAAGGGTGTTTTGGTAATTTAATGAAAAATAAAAATGAATAAAACATATATATGAATGTGAGGCCCGATTTCTACTTCCATTTTGTCTTCTATGAGCATGTTGCTATAAGACCTAATGATAGGTGAACTGAAATGTAGTAGAATATTTGTAAAATACCATGAGATATCAAATTATCAATCCAGTCATAAATGTCAAATACTGATTTCGATTACCAAGCAACACAAACACGGATCGACAGAAAACTCACGCAGGATAAGAAACACAAAATTAATGAACCTATACACATGTATATGATGGGAAGCAGGATAAGAAACACAAAATTAATGAACCTATACAAATGTATATGATGGAGTTCCAGTACTACACACGTATATGATGGAGTTCCAGTACCGGAATGGTGCAAAAATGTCGGGGAATGAATTTACCAATTACTTCAGTGAACAAGACGAAAATGTATGGATATACAGAATAAATGAAATAAAACCATTCGAGAAATGCATTGTACGGCACAAATCCACAAGATTGTACAAAATCCATAGCAATACCTTGAGCTGGGGCCGCACGAGTTGCGTATGTGTCGGACTGTGGTGAAGTACGAGGATGGTAGCTGAGAAGGCGAGCTTCGAGCGGACGACTGGTTGAGCAGCGGTGGAGGTGCAGTGGAGATGCTGCGAGAGGCGATCGAAGATTGGGGGCGAGGAGATTTTCGGCGGCCCGAAGCTTGTACAGAGAATTGGTTTTGACGAAGTTCATTTTCCTCTCTCTGCCTGAAAATTTCTTCAACCTATTTTTTGACAAGGATGCCCTTTTAAATTACGTGATATGACCAAAGTGCCCCTTAATAATCTGGAAAATAGCTTGCCGGAGCAATTTTTCGGTGAATTTTAAGACAATCCGGCAGGATGGATTGTTTTTTAACAAAAGTGATTAGTTCAGATTGCTATTTATCAAAATAAAAAGATTAGGTTGCATTTTTACACAATGAGCAAAGATCATGTTGCTCTAAATTTTTCCCCTTTATCTTATGGGTTAGATAGCCAGATTGGATTTTTTGTATTTTTTGTTGTCCTTCCCCTTGGTACTCTCTTATAATCTTTGCTTTTAGGATTTTAAATATTGTTGTAAGTTTACCTTTACCACCATCTCACCCACAAAAAAAAAAAAAAAAAAAAAAACAGTTGAACTCTTCGGTTATTATATTGTAAGGTGTTTGAGATATGATGTGTTTTTTAACATTCTCATGTTTCAAAGATTAATCATTTTTTTTTTTTTTTTTAAAAAAAAAAACATTCCAGGTTGGGATATGGGTTGACACTATACCCCGACCTGTAAATATAAAAGCCGACTAAAAAGTCAAAGGTCTATCATCTTTGTAAATCCTATATGTCCGTGATGTTATTACATCAATAACTTAATTTTGTTATAAATTTGAAGAAAATATGTCATACTTTGCTCTTCTATGCTACTCACCGAACATGAAACGAAAAACCACCGAAAGCGACCTCCCTTTGTACTAATGAAAAAAAATTTTATATTATTATTAATAATAATGAATTAAGGCCCATTGAGATACTCAAACTATAGCACTAAATGTACATTGTTATATTTTATATATAAAAAAAAAGTAAACGATACAAAATCAAATAATATAAAATAATATTTTATATGTTTGAATTATCCTTAATAAATGTAAACATTTAGTTTTTTTTT